TTCTGAAATAGGGCGTTCTTGAAAAGTTTTTTGAGATAGAGCGTTTTCGAACTGGCTGCCGAGATAGGTCGATCTTCCACTCAGCCATCGATATGTAAAATAGTTTATTTGTGGTAATAGCATCATTTTTATTCCGAGCTTTAAAGTGAGGCGAAAAATATTTATCACATGTTTAAAACACAAAACTTAAAACATAAAAACGGCTAAGCTTTTAACGCCAAAATTTTCAGAGACTGACAATAGAGAAAAGAACGAGTTAAAAAAAAAATATATAACAAATAACAAAGCAAGCAAGAACCACAAAAAGTGTTCCACCGTCTCATCTTCTTCAAGGCAAGATGGGCAAATGGAAATGCATTTACGCCTATTACAGACAGGTGTTTGCGCCACGTGAAGCAGTCTAGCAAATTGTTTGCAGTGTCGTCTGCTCAGAGAGAGCAAAAAATTAGATAGACCTTGTGAGATTGAAGGCAACATGAGTTTTGCCCACCTGCATCCCCTCGATACCTCTCAGTCATTTCTGAGCGAAGTATTCACCCAGTTTCTGATGGTGGCTTCGATTGCCGAAGGTGGGAGTGCTAAAACTAGTTGGGGACCGAGGAATGCCTGGTCTAAGCAAACTCTGGCCAAATGATCAGATGTCTCATAACCAGGTACACCAGAATGACCTGGCACCTCGTTATGTTCACCAAGTCGAGACTTGCATTTCCGAACTAGTTTGGAGGTACTTAAATAGAGGGCTGGTCAATGCCTTAAGTGCAGCTTGGTTGTCACTGCAGTCACGTAAACTCCTTCCTCTCCACCTATGTTCCACCTCGTAGTCCATGGCTTTGAGTATTGCAATTACCTCAGCCCGGAAAACCGAAGCATATTCCTCTACAGACAAGTGAAGCTTATCTCTATTAACCTCGAAAAATACCCCAGATCATGAGCCAGAGTCAGTTTTGGAGCCATCAGTGAAGATTCGACAATGTGTGAGTCCGGTCTCAGCAATGTAATCAAACCAGCACGCAGTCTCAGGGAACTCAACATTATAGAATCTCTTCAACAAAGGTAATGCTGGCGTACTATCCTGTAGCGTTGAAAAGACACGAGTGCTTAAATCTCTGCCGCCAGCAATTTTCGCCGCGCCCTACTCATTGTCATACCAGCGTCCGGTTATTTTTAGTCTGCAGGTGGCCATTAAGGCTTCCCCACGTATGAAAACACAAAGTGACGGTAAGTACAGCAATGCGTCAAGAGCACCATACACCACTCAAAAAAA